GACATTTTCCTATTTGAGGGTGTGTATGATGGATGCCAAGGACTTTCATGGAGGCATGAAAACTGAATGAGCCTAGTCATTCACTAATAAAAACAAGAGGTAATAATATTGCTATTAAAAGTAAGAGCAGAATTCTTGCTAGATTAGGTCATACTTTATAAATAATGATGGTGACAACCACCTATTTTTTTTTTTTTTTTTTTACATACACTTGGCCTCTGGGAAGGACACTGAATGTTTTACTATTCTTCCTGAATCCTCCCAACTAACCTGTGAGGCAGTTATTGCTATTCCCATTGCACAGATGAAGAAACGGAGGCTCAGAGACATGGGACAGTTTGTCCAACCTCTGAGTGGGAAGCTGGTTTGGGCCAGCAGGTGAGATAGTAATTGTGGGGTCTTTAAAGGAGCCACCAGGGTCCCCTCTGCTAGAAGTAATAGACACTATATGGTCACAAGGATCTCAGCTTTGATCTAGTCTCAGGCATTGGTCATCCATGGTTTATGTACCCTGATAGGCTTTCAAATGCCAGGATCTCCTTGTATACTAAAATTCAGTTTGGACAGTATCATTCTTGGGTTGGGGGTGTAGTTTACTGGTAGAGCATATGCATGTACAAGCCCCTGGGTTTTGATCCCCAGCACTGCAAAAAAAAAAAAAAAAGAAAAAAAGAAAAAGAAAAAGAAAATATAATTCCTTGTGGGTTTTGCATTTATACCAACCCTGCTTCTCAATGGCTACCTTGTAAAGCCTGAGCTACTCCAGGCTGAGGAAATATAAGCCTACTCATAGAAGCCAATGAACCTTTTCCTTGCTAGTGAGAAGGAGTGAAATTTGACTTTCAGAATGTTTTCTCTGGAAACAAATTGGGGAGCTGGTGCCTGCCAGGGAGGAAACCCAACCCCTGAGTGAAAATAAGAGCCCCTCTGGGTGAGAATAAGCATTTGTGCGTGTGCCAGACACATTGAGATTCCTGTGTCACATCGACCCCTCCGTTAAGCCAGAGGTATTTGGTCAGAGACCAAATTTAGCCTGCTGGTTCTAGACAGAGACCACCCTGAGCCTTTCTGCCCCACAGTACAGTTCTGTCTGAAGTTCTGCATGCTGTGGGGGGTGCTTGCACTTGGGGGAAGCATGGAGAGAAGCTTTACTTGTTTAAAGCACATTCCTGAGTCTCTGCATAAAAACCTGCCTTTTCCAGAGAGTCTATGTGAACCTTTCTGAGCCTCAGTATTTTCATGGGGACAGGGAGTTATAGCTGAATCTCCTGAGTGTTGTGAGGGTTCCATGTGTCACTGCTTGCTAGGTGCTTGGAACAGCACTGACACTCAGGTGTGAGCTATCATTCATGCTGCTGTTTTTAGGAGGAGTAACAGGATTAAGTGCTTTCCATTTAAGTGGTGTGACACCAGAGCACTTTCTGTCATTGTTTTTCTATATTACACTGTTTCCTGAGTACCTGCCCCAGTATTGTTTGAGCAGCTGTCCAGTACTCTGTTCTATAGATAATTTTCTGTATTTAAATGTTTGCTGGTTTTACCTGTCCCGGTTACATGACGTTTTTCTTTAGAATTTAAGTTGCTTCTGCTTATTCTCTCCTCCAGGGCTTGCCATGAATACCCTCACGTTATACATTTTGTATCATTCCTGCAATGTTCTCTCTTAGGTTATGTATTAGAACTAAGCAGAGGAGCATACCAGTTTAAGGCTTTATCACAAACTGCAAATAGCACAAAACAGAAACATAATAAAGGAAAGAAAGTAAGCAACTTTAAGACACAAAGAATACTCATATCAGCACTATAAAAATATGAGTTCAAAAGAAAGCCAGAAATTATATTATTAAAAGTAATAATACGATTAATATTGAACAAAAACACCATCCACGCCGGGTGTGGTGGTGCACGCTTATAATCCCAGTGACTTGGGAGACTGAGGCGGGAGGATTGTGAGTTCAAAGCCAGCCTCAGCAACTTAGCAAGGCCTTAAGCAACTCAGTGAGGTCCTGTCTCTAATAAAATATAAAAAAGGGCTGGAGATGTGGCTTGGTGGTTAAGTGCCCCTGGTTCAAACCCTAGTACCAAAACAAAAAACAAAAAACAACCCTCCTCCCCACACACACTGACCAAAATGTATTCTCAACATTTAATTAAATAAAAATGTGCTCAATAGTCAGTAAGTGGGTATATAATTCCATGTTTCAACTTAAATGATAAATTTACTCTGTGTAAAGTATTCAGTGCTTAATTGGGCCCTTCTGTTTTGGGAAAACCCTCCCAGCCAAGCCCCTTGTTCAGATGAATACAAGCAGCAAGCCCTTCATTATACAACATTCAATGGGAGTCAATCACATTAACATTGACTTTGAATGTTTTTCCTTTGTACTTATGCCTATCTCTCTGCGTATTTTTTCTGGGTTTTTAAGTTGTCCACAATTTCTGAATATATCATTTTTTTTTTCTGGAGGGATATATATACATTTTTCTCAGGAGAAGGCCCTTACTTTTGTCAGATTTTCAAGGAAGCCTTTAGCTCACCTGTTAAGTTTCAATCAATCATGTTCCATGATTTATCATGAAGTCACTTCAGGAAACCCAGGAGTGCCCTGCTGTGAGGTTTCCAGAAGGTTCTGTGAATACTACTTGTGGGCATTTTGGAGCTGGAGTTGAATGTCAGACATGTTGCTGGAAAGCAGTTTCCCTCCTGCAGCAGTCACTTCAGAAATGTCCTTATGCAACCCTGAGGCCTCAGACTCCTTTCCAGCCCCATCCTGGGCTGCCTCATCCCCAACCCTCCTCAAGCCTGTTCTGAGAAGTGACTTTGAACTGAGTGTCCCACACTTGCCTATTGGAACTTCACAGGGGTATGCTCTGACATGTTCTGGGCTTGCTCCTCATATCTTTGTGGTCCTGAGGCTGGTTCAGCCACCTGCTTGCTGAAGAGCCTTAGCCAGTTCTTCTCCTGCTGAGCTGAGTGTACGGCACGTCTAGGCGTCACACCCTTAGATAAGGTACCTGTATTTCAGGTAGGAGTTCAAACCTTGCAGGTGTGGTTCCCACTTTGAGCTGGACATATTCCTGCAGGGAAATGAAGTCTAAGAAGAAAAGCTTGGCACGAGTGTGCACAGGTGGAGTAAAAGCACAAAGCCCCCGGTGGGAGGTGGTTGCCCTGAACAGGCATAGGATGAATGTCTCAGGCCACTCAGCCTCATGGTGACTGGCAGTTCTACCTAGTTAATTCTGTCTCTCTCTCTCTTCTTCCCCAGTGCTGACCAGGCCCTTGACAGATTTGCAATGAAGAAGTTTTATGATGACAAAGTTTCGGCTTTAATGCAGCCTTCCCAGAAACGGTACGTATCCATCCTGGAGCCCAGAGGGAAAAGATGAATAGGATTTTACCTTTAGACAAATGTAAGCAGAGGATTTCTAATCTGCCCCTCAACAGTGCCCTTGAATTGTGCAGAAGAACATGAGGAAAGGGCTTGATCTGGCAGAAATGAGGAAATGAGCCACCCTCTGGGTCTGGTGAGAGCCCCTACCCTGCAGTTCACTTTGAGAGAGGTAGACCCAGTACCCCCTTCTCCTCACTCACAGTGGGGGTCTTCCTGTTCTGCAGCCAGTGAGTTCTAATTTCCATGATCATGTTGGAACTTGTTTCTGCCTGCTAGACAGGAGATCAGCGAACCTGTTCTGTAACAGGCTAAGGGGTGGGTGCTTCGTGCTTTCCAGGCTGCGTGGTCTCTATCACCATTGTTCTAAGACAAATGCAACCATAGACAAAGGGAAGTAAGTGAACATAGTTGAATGTTAGTAGAATTTTACTGATAGGAAAAAGGCCAAAGGTTGAGCAACCATGTGCCAACTCCTGTGCACCAGCTCCCTGAAGCCAGGGAGGATTTCTCTTTGACATTGCCCACCACCCCTATCTGTCCTTCTCAGCATGGCTCCTGGAAATGCTGGGGAATGGCCATGGTGGAGCAGGACTTTCTTCTTTGATGCCTGCCCTCTTGTCTAAGGTCAAGAGGAACTTGAGCAGGGTGGGGTGTGCAGTGAGAAGAAGCACCATCTCCACTTCCTTGGCAGATGGCAACCCGTGGAGCTCAGCACATATCTCCATCACAGTTTTACTTTAAGGCAAAGAGTAGGCAATTTGTCCAAGAATTAGCAAGGCAGTTGAAAATAGTTTTCTATCTTGGAGACAGGATCGTTAATATCCCGACCTTTTGTAAGTGAGTCGTGATCCTCTACATCTGTTTTCTCTGGTGAAGCCAAGGGCTGTGTCAGGAGATATGGAGAGCAATTTCAGGGACTGCCAGAGGCGCCTTCTCCTTTTGTTGTGGGTGTCTCCAAAGGCTGGGGTCTGTCTCTGCTCAGACTGGGGCATGTTGGAGGAATGTGGGCTACATGTGGGACTATGGGTTGGAGCCTGGCTGTGTCTGAACAACAGGCCTCTCAAGGAATGCAAATTGTGGTAAAAAACCTGGTGCATTTATTAATATTATAGTTAAATAGCCCTTTTTCTATTTTGAACCATAAAGCATTATTTTTCCACTGAGCAGTTCCCATAATGGGAATCTGTATGATCTCTTGCGCAGAAGATAGGGTCTTAACAAGATGTGAGCCATGCAAAAAGATGTCTAGCACACACTAGGGAGGCATGGACTCCTTATTGTCTCCTTTTTGTTCTTATTATTTACTGAACCAGCAACTTTTTAATAACATTAAAAGAGTGTGGCGAAGGGGAATACTTCTCTCTTTAACATGGCCACAGCTTTGGTGCATCTGCCTGCTGTGCATCTGTAATTGATGAAATGTGATGTTCAACTTTGCATTCCAAGCCTAATGCCTTGCACCCAAGATCAGGGGACTGCCCCCTAATTCTCCATCTTTTTCTGATATCTTGCTCAGTGCTTGCATTAGAAGACATGCTCACCAAATAATTATTGAGTTGGTGAACAACTGAATGCATGTGTAAGAGAAATCTGTAGGGATGTTTGAGACCAAAGAATGTGCAATGACAGCCTTTATGGGAGCAGGGAGACTTCATTGTCCTACAGACAACCTGTGGACAGGGGTTCTTTGTGGGCTATTTTAGGACCAAGGCCAAGAAATCAATTCAAATTCAAGCTCACAATAATCACTTCTGAGATTGAATAATAAGCTTAGGGTTTGTGGCTGACAAGCTTCAAAATCTCAACAGCAACTTTGAAAGAAGCCATTGGCAGAGAGATAAGGAACCCTTCAGAACCTTCAAGTTATTAGTATAATTATCCGTTGGTATCGTCAGGGGATTGGTTCCAGAAACCTCATGGATTCTAAAATTTGCAGATACTCAAGTTCCTTATACAGAAAGATCTTGTATTTACATGAAACTTCCATGCATCTTCCTGTCTACTTGAAATCACATCTAGATGACTTATAAATGTAAATGAGTTTATGTAAATAGTGGTTGACACAGTATATTTTAAGGAATAATGAAAAAACAGAACAAAACAAAAACCTGTCCATGTTCAATACAGATGCAGTTCTTTCCCTACCAAAGTTTTTGATTTAAGTTTGGTGGAATTCATGGATATAGAACTTACGGGCACAGAAGGCTGACTGTGATTACTTTTTGGATTGGTGAAGCTGTGAGCTGAGTGACCCTTCATAGACAGAGATGGAGAGCTGGTGACTGTTGAGAGCTAATTTCAGGCAGGGCAGGCACTCTGCTTCAGAGACAGAGTCCTGGGGCAGATGCAAGTGGTTTTCTTTCTTTTCCCCCATGGTCAACAGTGGGCCTGTGGTCTTGGACTCTGTGTCCTTCTTTGGGAGCTTGTGGAGAAACAGTATTCTGCTGCTGTACCTTGACCTTACTCATCTGAAGGAAGAAACTTTTTGTGCTCTTTTGCACATGAGCGATAACCCCAGTTGGGTAGAAATGGAGGCTTTGCCCATAGTGTGGGACAGGAGCTAATGGCTTCTGAGCAAGGAGCGATCTCAGCTTCCTGGAGGACAGCTGTTTGTCCCCTGCAGAAAGTGGTGACATCTCTGACTTCAGTTAAAGTCAGCTTCTCACACTGTTGGTAACAGGAGCCCTTGGGTGCTGAAATTGTGAAACAAGTACCAATTTTATTCTGAGATCTGGGTGCACAATAGGCCCAAGCAGGTCCAGCCTGTAAAGGACCAGCTTACCTGAGTGGTTATTGCAGAACTGCCCACACCCGTAGCCAGGAGCCCATGGGCTGTAGACATTGGGCTGGGGCTCTCACAGGAGGGCCTGGGGAAGAGCTGTCATTTGTGCTCAGTGCCACCCAGTGCTAGAGGGTGACTCAGGATATGAAATTTAGGTGATTAAAACTAGATGAACAGAGAAAGTAGGGGACAAACGACAGATGTACTACTGGTCTTATCTCATAGTCCTACAGCCACTGAAAGACTCCCATCTTAACTGACAGTTTGTTGGATGCCAAATGTGCCTCATTTATCCACCCTCAAGTAGCATGAGGTGCATCATTAGAACTGCTGTCAGGGAACTCAGGGCAGGGGCAGCTCTGGGCTACCAGGTACACAGGGAATCAGGGAGTGTCAGGCAGGGCACAGGGAGGGAGGCCCAAGGCCGAGGGAACATCAGAGCTGGAGGAGGGTCCAACACGTGTTCTGGTCATTGCTGCCTTGTCGTGTCTCATGAGGACCCTGTGGATCACATGCTCCTAGTATAGAAACTTCCCTCTGAGTGCACAGGGCTGAGCCTAGAATTCAGACAGGAAAAGTCGCATCTTCCAGGCCCATGGTAGTCCCAAGTGGTCTTTACCTTGGAGCCGGGCCACTAAGAGAGGACCTAAGAGGAGACTCTTGGGGAAGAGTAGCTCAGGGACTTCTGAGGTCAAAGAACCTCTTACTGTTGGTGTGGGAGGTGCCGTGTACAAGTGAGAGAGAACCTTGACTGTTTATCAGGCCACCTGAGCGGGAGCAGAAAGTCATAGGGGGAATGAGTTGCTGGGCCTGCATCATGTGAACCCAGAGGCTGGCCTGACCTGGGACGGGATTTGGGGAACGGGTGAGAAGGCTTCCCAGGTGTCGGTGCCCAGGCATGGGAGATGCTTGTGTCTCTTTGTCCCTGCTATTTAGCAAGAGGCCATGTGGGCAGTTCCTAGCATTGTGAATGGAGCTGCCGCCAGGGCTATGACCCTCTGAGGCTTTAGCAGATCACCACTTTGAGTTGTGCAGTAGGACAGGACCTCCTGATTGTCTCAGGAGACAGTTTCCTCCTCTCTCCTGGCCCTGCTGAGACTTGTGCAGTACTGAGAGTGCTGCTGTGGGGTCTCAGCCACTGTTCTTTGCAGGTACGTGCAGTTTCTCAGCGGGCTTCTCTCAGGGTCAGTGAAGATGAATGCCTCGCCCTTGTTCCTGCATTTCGTCATCCTGCACGGCACCCCTAACTTCGACACTGGAGGAGGTGAGAGACTTCCATGGCATGGAGCCCCGTGATTTGGTAACAAGCCTCCTCCCTGATTCTGTGACATCCTGAATCTCTCCCTCAGCTTCCTAGTTGTAGAAGCAGCTCTGTTGTGTGGGCAAAGCTTCAACTTTGGGAGACTGTTTGAAAGAGTTGGTTAGGGAACCAATACTCCTGTGCCTGCGTACAAGGAATCTGGAATGCCGTGTCATCCTAGGCCAGCAGTCCTGTGGGTCAGCTGTACACTTGGTCTCAGGCTCACACAGTGGTGAGGGAAATCAGCATGAAAGAGATTTCCCAGCTGCTTCAGGATCCCATCTTATCCCTCCTCCTTAAAGTGATTTCAAGAGAGAGAGCACCTAGCACAGGATTGGCATCAGGACCTTTTGCCCTGGTCCTTAGTCCCATGCAGGTACCCATAGACTGTGGGTGGTCAAGACCTTGTCCCCTCCCCAGTCCCATGTAAGTGCTCACAGCACATGGCTGGTATCAGAATCCTGTCTGCTTCTCCTTTATGTGATTTAGATAGTTGCAGTTTCATCCTTTTGCAGTGCTGAGGATAAATCTAGGGCATCTAGGTGATGGTTCTACCACTGAGTTACATGCCCAGCCCTTTTGAATTTTCTTTTGAGATTGAATCTCACTAAGTTGCTCAGGGTGGTCTCAAACTTGTACTCCTGCCGTCTTAGCCTCCTGAGTAGCAGGGATTATAGGTGTGTGCCACTGCACCTGACTTCGTTTCTTCCATTTTAAAGTATATCTATGCCTTCCAGTCCCCCCTGGTCATCAGGACCAGAGTGGACCTACTGAGCAGAAAGTGGATTTTGAGCCCTCCTGGTCTCACTATTTAGTGCCCTAGTAGGCGTCTGGATAAAGGTCAAGCTCTCTTTCTGTGGCTCATAGGACCAAGTTTGGGCTTCAGGTGAGGCCTGCTATTTCTTGCAGGGGCGGGAGACTCCTTATGCTCACTGAATGTGGGCAACTCTGGGAGGTGTTTCCCCAGTCTCTCTGGCAGCCTATGCAGTGTCTGATCTCCCTGCACCTGCCTCTCTTTTTTGGCTAGACTCTGATGCCATTTTTACCTGGGGGTCTGTCTTTCTTTCAGTGTGCCGGCCCTTTCTGAAGCTCTACCAAGCCATGCAGCCTGTGTATACATCAGGGATCTAGTAAGTGCTGGAGCTTGTCCTGTGGCATCCTGGGGATGGTGGTAGAGCCTGGCTACCTTTATCATGGGAAGAGGGTGTAGGCAATGAGGTGAGAAATTCCAAGGAGCCTAAGGAGCATGCAGAAGGGAAAGCCCTGGGGCAGCCTATGCTCCGACATACACAGGTGTCCTGTTCCTGCCTCTTAAGTTGGCTCCATCAAGGGGGTGAACACTAGAGCCTCCAGTGGAGAGAGGGCCATTGCTGTTTGGAAGTGCACATATTGGAAAGATTCCCAGGACAAGGTTCCCTTATGATTTTTCTTTCTCTCTCCTTTGCATTTTTTATATGCATCAGTTTTTCTTTTTTTTAATATTTATTTTTTAGTTGTAGTTGGACACAGCACCTTTTTATTTATTTATTTAGTCCCATCTCTGGGTTCACACTGGATGCTACGCATATTGATGGCACTTTGAAAATTTTACCTGTAGCTTGTTGAAGCTGCGTCCAACTGCACCTCTCCGGGGCACCTTGGTCTTCTCTCTAATTGGGCCCCTGGGGTAGGGTCTCAGTGCCTTTGGGTAAGTCACTGACCCTGATGTTGCTGTAAGGGCTCTCCAAGGCCTAGGAATTTTCTTAAGCCTTTTGGACACATTTTTATAGAGTGGGATTCTCAGAAATTAGATTCTGTGTTAATGGGAACATTTTATGTACATTTTCTTTTCTCAACATGTATTCTGTCCACAAAATCATGAGATTGCATAATGACGTACCTTCTTGTTTATCCCAAAGCAATGTTGGCTCAGAAAACCCCAGCAGAATCTGCATTGTCATAGAGCCGGCCCAGCTGCTGAAAGGGGACATCATGGTGAGTGCCCGCTGTTTCAGTAATAATGACCCTAAAGGCAGAAAAGATTTCATCGTAAAACAGTAACAGCCCCTGTTTTTGAAACCCTCCCTCCAAAAAATCTGTAGGAAGGTATAAAAGTAGCCTTTATCTTAATGCATTTGGTTAGTTTTCTGAGTAAAAGTATTTTAATTAAAGGGAGAGAATGAATTTTTCTTCTTTAGTGTCCTTGATTGTATAGCCATTTTGTACATATAAACTTGAAAATGAAGTCCTGATATGGTGACTGAACTTGGGACATCCCCATTTCCTGACCATAATTTGTAATCTTAACATGATCATAGCCCTCCTAGGGTGTAGCAATAGAAATAAAATATGTGTTTAGCATTAAGGCCTGAGTACTGGTGTTATTATAGCTTGGTTAAGGATCAAAACACTGATTTCTTCAGATAATTTTGTTTCTTGGGTGTGTTCATTTTGGGAGGAGACTAATTGTTATTGTGTGTGTTATCTCTCTCAGTTTTTTTTTTTTTTTTTTTGATACCTGGGATCGAACCCAGGGGTACTTAACCTCTGAGTCACATCCCCAGAAATTTTTTAGTTTTTGTTTTGAGACAGGGTCTTGCTAAGTTGTTTAGGGTCTCACTAAGTTGCTTTATTAAAGCCTCACCAAGTTACTGAGGCTTCCCTTAAACTTGCCATCTTGGTGCCTCATTCTCCCCAAACACTGGAATTTAAATGTGTGCCACTATACTCCGTTGTCTTTTATCTATCTTGAATACAAAGGAATTTATACAGGTAAGATAATTTTAGTGAAGATTTTGTCTAGAATAAAGAAAACCTTTAAGGCATATGTATAGCTGCCAGGATGCAGAGAATAACTTAGATACGATCTTTACATGGCCTTGGCAGACCTGCTTTGATAAAGGTTAGGTGACTCAGGTGTTCACTTTGCAGAATATATAAAAGGCTCAACCAAAGTCTTTGAAGATCCTCATTAATTTCCTCCAGAAGTTTGTATTTTAAAACTCTTTCTTAATGAATGAGGGAAAATCCCCACCTTGCCCATCCCAGATTTTCACAAAAATAAGGACAGGAGGTGTAGTTCAGTAGTGGAGCATGTGCTTAGCATGCTCAAGACCCTAGGCTTGATCCTCAGCTCTGGGGGAAAAAAATAAATCCATAAGGATAATGAGGGTAGAGACCCTGGGGATACAGTCACACCTTTTGCATGCCCTCTGAGCAGCTTCAGTCTGTGCAGCCTCAGAGGGTGGAATTCTACAGGTGGAAAAGGCACCTGAGAGGGTATAAGGGTCAGTAAGGAGTGTGGCCATGTGACTGAGCCCTAATTTTGCTGAGCACTGCACAAAATCACCTTCCATCCCCATGACAATCTCATGAAAGAACTGCACTTCCCATTTCACAGGTGGGAGAGCTGAGGGTGTAGGTGATTACTCTATTTTCACAAGCTCATTTTTCAGCCACTCTCTTCTGATGCCCCAAGGAGAAGGGCCCCGGGCTTGCAAAGCCTGTAGTTGGAGTGCAGTGCAGCCTCCCTGCTTCCCTGGGGTTAGTAGAGAGGGGCAGGGTGAGGAGGGGAGAGAGATTCTCCCCACCATGTGCTGCTTCATGTCTTCTGTCCAGGTGTGCAATGCTGGCCCTGGCTTTAGGACACCTGCAATTGTTGGGCAAAGGGGCCGAGCTATTTATTTATTTACTTATTTCAGTGTTTGGGATTGGACCTAGGGGAACTCTACCTCTGAACTACAACCATAGCCCTTTCTACTTGAGACGGTCTGAGTTACTCCAGCTAGACTTAAAGTTCTGATCCTCCTCCCTCAGCCTCCCACGTAGCTGGGATTATAGGAGTGTGAACCTTAATGGAGGACAGCTTTGTGTGAGCACTAATCAGGCTTTACCAGCTATGGCTCTAACCTGTCTCTAGCTCTGGAATAGGGTCCAGTGTTCCAGCTTTAAAGGAGAGGCTGGTGGGGTAGGATTGGCATCTGCCTGTCATCATATCCTGTCTGCCACACAGGTTTGTGGGGGGGGTGGACTGGAGTTGGCTTTTCCAGGAGGCAGCTCCCTGTCTGCAGGGATTCGTTGTTAAAGCCATGTCCCTTTAGGGTGACCCAGGGGAGGTGACCAAAAGCTATGATATGGAGGGTGACTCTCAGGCTAGGATGTATGGCTCTCTGCCCCTCGCCACTTCCTAGAACAAGGGCAAGGCTTCTCTTCAGATGCTTCTGAGCTGGTGGCTGCAAGGTCTTCTGAGACCTGTGGGCAGACTAGTCTAATTGCGATGCCAACTGCCACTCCCCTTTCCCTGTCCTTTCCTTCTTCCCCATCCTCCTTCCTCTCTCTCTTCTCCTCCTTTTCTTTACCTCTCATTCTCTTGTCTGTCTTCACTTCCATTTTCTCTTTTTCTCTGTGATTTTTTTTACCCAATAGTCTTTTTTTGGAACATTTTGTCCTCTTTCGGAGTCTATGGGCTTAGCCCTAGGCACAGGAAGGAAGGGAGGAGCACAGTGACTTTGTCCTGGAGGATCTTGGTGAAGACGTGAGTTGGTTTGTTTGTTTTTCCTTAAAGAGGACCTGCAGCTGCTCTGTAGCCCAGGTCAGGGGCCACTGTAGGTTGAGGCAGAGCAGTTTGGGTGAGGATTCAGTTGGATATGACCTGTGACTTGGGCATCAAGGTGCTGGGCTGGAAGGGTATTACCAATAGACACCACACAACATCTTGGCCTCATGGTGTCCGGAGGGGTCTTATGCCTTTGCTAGGACGTCTATGTTTGTGAGGAAATTAAACATCTTGGACAGGAATTCTTGCATAGTTCTCTTTTGGGAAACATGGACCTCTGCTCAGTGAGGAGCACACTTAGGTTTGTGCGGAGGAAATGTGTGAACCCACATAAATCTTCCAGGACAGCGTATGATAGAGGGTGAAGGCTATGCCACATGAGGCTGTAACATCACAAGCCATTGTCACAACCAGACAGACTATGGCTTGACTTTATGGGTGGATGGGCACTGACTTTTCCCTCTGCTTCTTCACCATGAACCTCTTCCCACTGAACTGCATTCCAGCTCTGTCCCTCCCTGTAGTGGGCACTGCAACCCAAGCATGAGGTCTCAGTAAATATCACATGTGCCTGGCTGTGGCCACTGGAACGTGGCTTTGAGCAGGCTACAAGGAGCCTGTCTGGGGAGGTGGAGGCTGTGGGTGGAGGCAGCATTTGGCACTTGATTAGTGAGGCGGATCCAGGAACAAAGTGGGCAGGGCAGAGGAGGAGAGGAACCTGGGTGGGTGGGAGGCGTTCTCTGGTGGATGTGCCAGGGCTTGGTAGATGTGCCCCATCCTGGTAGAGTTCCTGGGTGTCCAGGGAGCTGAGGGAGCTAGGTGCTGCTCTAGCTCAGGAAAGTACTGTCCTCTGTGTTGGTGTTGCTGGGTGACCTTGGATGAAAAATGATGCCTGCTGAGTGCCCAGAGGTCACAGCAAGGCAGCTCTGTTCTTGTGTCAGTGGCTCACAGCTATTTGTTCCTAAGTGGTTTGTTATCTAACAACTAAAGAGTCAGTCTGCAACTACTTTGGAAGCAGTGATTATTTGAAATTGTTGCAAAAATTGGAGTCAAACTTGTGAGTCCACTTGGTATGGAGCAGAGGCCCTCTGAAGCTCAGTCTGTGGTTAGGAGGGCCAGGCCAGCTAGCATTTGTTAATGCCGCCTCTAGAGAAGCTCTTGGTCAGCAGAGAGAGGCCGAGGCTTACAGTGAGCAAGGCGCTGAGTCAGCAGGAATGTCAGTCAGATGTGAGCATGGCTGGAGCTTCATGAAAGGTCATTTCCACTCTTCATAGCCCTTGGGGCTTGTGTGGTCCTGGCCTGGGGTGAGGAGTCCCCAAAGCTCTGTGTGCCATTTCCCACAAGTGGGTTCTCAGAAGGGAGAGGTGCGGACTTCATACAAGGCGTAGGGTAGTGGGATAGCCCTAGGCCCCCATGAGGACGTGGCACTACTGAGAACAACGTTGATGTTTGAGAACTGGAATAGTCAAATGTGGAGCATTTCAGGGAGCAGAAGGTGGGTAAGGGTGGTGGTGGTGGAGTGTTCCAGGTGATCCTAGGAGTGAGTTGGGCCTGTTCTGGGGAGTTCCACTGACTACGAGGCACTCAGAGGGACAGCCTTGGTCGGGAGAGGGCCAGGTGTAAGCCTCACCCGAGCCCAGGTTAGGGTAGTTGTGAAGGTGAGACCCAGACCCACCATCTAGTCTGGGCATCTTCTGGAACAACCTCATACTTGAAGTTGAACATGAATCTTGGATGGACATTTTATCAGGACAAAAGATCCCTGCTGGTGTGGGGTGTTTCTGAGTAAGGGGCCCACCCTCTCTTCTTGGTGGTCTTCCAGGCCAGCTTGTTCTGCTTAGGTTGCTTTTTTAGAACACCACAGACTGGGTGACCTGTAGTAACGGGAATTGATTTCTCTAGCTAGAAATCCAAGGTTAAGGTGCTGCAGATTCAGTGTCCCGTGAGGACCCCCTTTTCTGACTCATAAATAACTCCTTTCCCTGTGCCTCCTGTGGTGAAAGGGGTGAAGTAGCTCTGTGAGGTCCCTTCTCTAGGGGTACTAATGCCATTCCTGAGGGACCCAATCTCTTCACTAATCACCTTCCCAAATCCCCACCTCCTAATACTATCACTTTGGGTGTGAAGATGTCATCACGTAGATTTAAATTTTTTTATTAGTGCCTTATAATTATACACAAAAGAAGGATTCATTATATCATATTCATTTGTGTACATAACAATTTGATCAATCTCAT